ACGTCAACTAAGGTCGAATGTTCAAAGTTCAGAAAACATACTTTTGAAAAATTGAAATATATTTCAGCATTATAATTTTGGGTATTTAGATTAATATTACAACACTGATCTAATTTTTCAAGACGTTTGGATTATATTCAGCATCTTGCTGAAATGTTGTCTTTATGGGTTTGCTATGATGTGACTTAATGCCGTAAAAGAATATTCTCTTGTCTAGTTTTAAAGGTGTATTATACATTGTTTTGATAAATTAAACATTGCATTATTGTATTAAAAAAAAAAAATTCAAAGAGCCATTAATCGATATCCAGCAAGAATTCATGCACATATATATTTCATTTTATTTTTTTTTGGGGGAAGGGCGGGCTGTGAGAACAAAAACTCATATTAGATAAGATGATAAGATTTTTTGTATATATATGTGGACAGCATACAATTTAAACAGTTTAAAGATTTACAATGATACAGGATAGAACAAAATATAGTACAAAAGCAAAATATGTTAGACCAGTGCTTAATACATTAACTTTAGAGTGATATAAAAATATCACTATTAGAATAGTGCTTAATTTAATACATTATCTTTTTACTGTTAGAATAGTGCTCAATACATAAATTGTAGAGTGATATAGAAATACCACTGTTAAAATAGTGCTCAATACATTAATTGTAGAGTGATATAGAAATACCACTGTTAAAATAGTGCTCAATACATTAATTGTAGAGTGATATAGAAATACCACTATTAAAATAGTCCTCAATATATCAATTGTAGAGTGGTAAAGAAATACCACTGTTAAAATAGTGCTCAATACATTAATTGTAGAGTGATATAGAAATACCACTATTAAAATAGTCCTCAATATATTAATTGTAGAGTGATAAAGAAATACCACTGTTAAAATAGTGCTCAATACATTAATTGTATAGCTATATAGAAATACCACTGTTAAAATAGTGTTCAATACATCAATTGTATAGCTATATAGAAATACCACTGTTAAAATAGTGCTCAATACATCAATTGTAGAGCGATATAGAAATACCACTGTTAAAATAGTGCTCAATACATCAATTGTATAGCTATATATAGAAATACCACTGTTAAAATAGTGCTCAATACATTAATTGTAGAGCGATATAGAAATACCACTGTTAAAATAGTGCTCAATACATCAATTGTATAGCTATATATAGAAATACCACTGTTAAAATAGTGCTCAATATATTAATTGTAGAGTGATATAAAAGATCACTGTTAGAATAATACTCAAAAACATGAAAAATGTATAGCGATAATAGCTACACCAAAACACATAATATATGATGCATTCAAAATATAATATTTACATTCTATTGTCACGCGCTAAAGTGAACCCTTGTGAAAATTTTGCATTCATTTTACCCTATAATGAATGAATGAATGATGTAATGACCTCTCTCTATTTCTAAAGGATGGGCTTTTTTCATATTTTTGATTGTTTGGGGGGTAATTCAAGTATAAATTTGACATTTACCCCACGGTCAAACTGCGTTGAATGGATGATAGAGAAAAATCAGACCACACATAATTTTTATTATATACTAATGCATTCTATGCCCTTACAATATGGCGGTATTTTTCAATACAAATGACTTGTTTGTGCCGTTAAATTACATTCGAAATGTTCTATAAGGCAGCGGTGAAGCAAAATGTGATTGAGTCGGTACAAATATGCCATTTTTATTGAGAAATGCTGCGTTGCATGAATATGTTTTCGAACATTTTTGCAAAACCGGAAGTGCCACAGTTCAACATGTGCAAAAAGTCGAAAATCGGCTCCAAAAGGCGTAATTTTGCATCGATTTTTTTCGGGTTTTCATTTTTACAATCTACCTGTAATTTCTGACCTGATAGCACTTAAAAAATTACAAAATTCGAAAATTCGTCGCTCATTTTTTTCGATCAAATTTTTCGATTTTTTTGCAACTTTTTTGCTTTTGCATCGATTGATCTGAAATTTTAAATGCAAAGAGACTTCAATGTTAATAATATGATACAGTTGAACTTCAAATCTACTTCCGGTTGAATAACTTCCGGTGTAATTTATGTAGGCCAACAAAATTTAGCTGATCTTTGGCAAATAAAATTTTATGGCCGATTTTAAAATAAAATCCAGACCGGAAGTGATACTTTGGTTGCCATATTGAAAAAAACACACTTTTGTAAAACTCAAAATGGGGCCTCAGGGTAAATGATGATATGCTCAAATTTGATGTGAATGTATTCTGTAATCGCATTGTGAGCCGAATTTTGAATTTCGCTTTTGCTTTTTTGCAACTTCCGGTTGAAATTTGTTCATGCTTTAAACGATCACACCATGTGACCTTGACCTTTGATGACCCTGACCTTCATAGGGTCAAAGGTCATTGACATTGGCTATCATTTGATACTTTGACCTCCGACATGTACTTCCGGTTTTATAGCTATCCGTAAAAAGCCAAATTCGCAACTTTGGACTCCTCTAGCACCTGACCAGGGTTCATTTTTTCGGTTTCCTAATGTTCTTCTCATGCACTTTACATAGATATATAACAATCGTTTTTTTAAAGCAAAATTGAAATTCGTGATTATTTCAAATTTGAGTTTTGACAATATTTGTGTCTTTTTGATCTTGGTGTATGAATATCTTATGACCTATTTTATGTAGAACCTTGATATTTGGAATACAACTAGACACTTTGAATATGAATTCACCTATGACAAAAAAATTGGGGTGGGCGTGGCACATCCGGGTTGAATTACTAATTGTTTACATTTTGGGTCTGGGGCATAACTCGCATAGGATACGTTTGTTAAAAAAGGG